AAAATATTAGATGTTTAAATGAGTTGTGTATGAGTGATTTAGACTAGAATACTGTGTGGGATAATATTAAGAAAGGTTTGGTGGATACCGCCACCGAAGTATGCGGTGTAAGTAAGAGAACAAATGAAAGGAAAAGTAATACGTTATGGTGGGATGATGAGGTACGGGTGGAAGTTTAATCAAAGAAGAAAGCATGGTTAGATTTACTAGCAACCAAAGCTGATAATTCTTCTGGTATGAATGCTGAGATTGAAAGAAAAAAGGCAGAATTTAGACGTCTAAATAAGAGAGTAAAAGAAGTAGTTGAAAGGAAAAAGAAAGAAAGAACGGATAAGAATGATAGAAGGATATCTGATAATTTCCAGGCTAACATAAAAATGTTCTGGAAACTCGCAAGAACTGCCAGGGGAAATACAAAACAGCCTATAATAAATGCTATAAGAGACGAGAATGGATGTATTCTGAATGATGAAGTTTCGAATTTAAACAGATGAAAGGAATAATTTGAAAGCGTGTTTATGAGTGAAGAGTCGTATGAATTAAATGAACTAGAAATTCCGAAAGAAGTGGAAAGGGGTATGGAGATAAGTGTAGATGAAATAATGAAAGCAATGAAAAGCATGAAAGCAGGTAAGGCAGCTGGATATGATAGAGTATCATTCGAGATGCTAAGGGCTGGAGAGGGAGTGGTGGCAGGCCTGCTGTACACCTTGTTTAATTTATGTTGGGAATTAAAACGGGTACCGGATGACTGGTGTAAAGCAGTTATAGTACCAATATATAAAGGAAAAGGGTCACAGCAGGACTGAAAAAACTACCGCGGTATCAGCTTGCTTAGTATTGTGGGTAAACTGTATGCTAAGGTGTTAATTGAAAGAGTTATAAAAGAAACTGATGGAAAAATTTGGGATGTGCAAGCGGGTTTTAGAAAGGGAATGGGGTGTACAGATCAAGTCTTTTCCATGCGCATGATTGCGGAGAAGTTTTTGGCCAAAAACCAGAAAGTTTTTTGTGCGTTCATGGACTTGGAAAAGACAGACAGAGTGGACAGGAATGTGTTATGGCAAACACTGAACTCATATGGGTTGAGCGCTGGTTTGATACATGCATTAAGGTCTCTTTATAGGGACTCTAGTGCTTGTGTCAGGATCAATGGGGTCTACTCGGAATGGTTTGGCATCCAAAAAGGTGTCAGACAGGGCTGTGTGGCTTCCCTTTGGCTGTTCAACCTATTTATGGACCGGTGTTTGCAAACTTTGAAAGATGAAGAATGTGGGTTAAGAATGGACGAGTTAACCGTCAAATGCCTTTTGTATGCCGATGATCAAGTCATACTTGCGTCATCGGCAGCAGAGTTGCAAATGATGGTTACATTAATGAACTGGGAATTAAAAGAAAGGGGAATGAAAGTGAACGCAAGTAAGACGAAAGTGATGGTTTTTGAAAGAGAAGAAAGCAAAACGGTATGTGAAATAAGAATAGAAGGATAGTTGATTGAGCAAGTGGATGAGTTTGTGTATTTGGGATGTGTATTTAGCAGGGATGGTAGATATGATAGGGATATAGAACGACGAGTAAATGCTGGGAATAGAGTGAATGGGACACTACACTCTATTATGAAGAACCAGAATTTGTCAAAACAGGCACGTATGGTAATTCATAATGCTGTGTTAGTCCCTACTTTAATGTATGGTAGTGAAAGCTGGGTGTGGCAGAAGAAGCACGAAAGTAGAATAAATGCTGTAGAAATGCGGTCTTTAAGGAATATGCTAGGGTGTAATCTGAATGACAGGGTGAGAAATTGCGTGATAAGAGATAAATGTGGTATGCAAGATGATGTTGTGACCAGGATTAAGAAAGGAATGCTTCGGTGGTTTGGTCACGTAGAAAGAATGAATGAGGAAAGAGTGACAAAGCAAATTTATATGGCAGATGTGAATGGCCGAGTCGGGAAGGGACGCCCTAGGAAAAAGTTTATCGACCAAATTGGCGATATTTTGAAAATGGGCCACGTTAGAAGTACCCTTAACCGACGAGCATGTATGCGTAGATATATGGATGTAAAGGAGGCGAAAGAGGTGTGTCAGGTTCGTGCCAAATGGAAGTCCGTAGTCTCTGCCTACCCCTCTGGGTGACAGGCGTGAGTGTTTATGTAAGTAGCACAGAGTAATGTAAGCGCAGACAGGTGTAATAAAAATAATATGATAATTTATTAAAGTATATATGTATATACAATAAATAAACCAGTACCCGGATGACCGCGCTTTGCTCGTTTTTTTTTGAAATTACATTAAGACACAAATTACGTACTGATAAATAATATTTTTTGAACTTATTGACATAAAAGTAAAAACTGAACTGGTTATTTGAATAAAAAATCATGAGTGCAATTAGTTTCATTAAAATTTTCGTATTTTTAAAATACTAAAAAAAATGGGCTCGTAATAATAGATTTTCTCACGAGAGAAGGGAACTTGAAAAAAAAAGATAAAAGTCGAACCGAAGACAGGACGCGAATAAAGGCATTACAATTTCGCGACCGCTCGATATCCACTTGAGCTACCTTCTTATATTGTAGCAGTTTTCCATTGCCGGAAAACATGGACAAAAATACATTTTCTAAAAATAAATCCTAGCTAGATCTATTTACTGCCCCCGAAACTCCCTGGACACTAAATTTTATTAAAATCGTTTGAGCCTTTTCCGAGATTCCAATTATATATATATATATATATATATATATATATATATATATATATATATATATATATATATATATATATATAAAGTAATGACCGAAGTGATTTAGGGTATATTTTTGCCAAAAATATATGAGACATTTTTTTTATTTCAAATTTAATTTTGCTAAATCTAAATAGGTCAGATATTATTATAGTTTAGATACTACCCGGGGGAAGTCGGGGCAGTTTAGTAGTAAATATTGTTAGTCGAACGTATAACGGTCGTGATACGTAATTTTTATTAACAATCCGAATCACAGAATGCTTCGATAAATCTTAATAACAAAGTCTCTTAAACTCACCTTCCCTGTTATTACAATACTTGCAGTAGCACACTGCGGCGGACACCGTCGCCATGGCTGTAATTATCACCACAGCCGCCAGAACTGTTATTAGTAATGTCGTTAATTCTACTTTGACGGGCACTTGCACTAAAAACAAAAAATAAAAATTCTGTACCGGCTGTTTTGAGAGAGAGAGAGCAAGTTCTCCTTCTCTCTCTCTCTCTCTTATTGCAAAATGAATGATACAATTTTATGCAATTTATTTAGCATAACATATTTTCAATCACAAGTTATTTATAACACATGGTAATGAGCTTAACACTAGCTCCAGAAACACAATTTTACACTAGTCTGAGAGCTTATGTATTTAATGAAATATTTATCATAATATTTTTATGTCAAAATAAAGTTATTTAATTTGAATTTTGAATATACGTGGAAAAGCCGCGCTGCGGCTATATTATGCTCAACTCGATCAGGGAAGAGCCACACTCTCACAGAATACCAGCGTAAAACAGCAGCCTAATTCTGCTGTGTTTTGTATAGCGTATGTAGAGAACTGGAGACCCTTGTAAATAGAAACGTGGCATTCCGTCTTTGTCTTCAGGGGTGACAACGCATCTCCATTTTTATTCTAAATCGAGAGTAGATGTCGTACAGCACCACACCACAGCACCCACTTACCATCAAAAAGACTATGTGTTCATTGTCACCCTTATTCTATAAACAAAAAACCTTATCATCAACGTCTTGCTATCGGTGAACTAATAGTCCACCTGATGGTAAATGACCACTGCAGTCCAGAGATACCTGCAACCAACTTTAAAAAAAAGTTAAATGTTGTTGTCATCTCTAAGGACTAAGGTGGAGTGTTAAATAGCCCGTAATTGTACTGGCTCTCTATATCCTTCAGGCCAAAACACAAAAGAAGTAGTTAAAAGGTTAGTACCTACCGAGAAAGACTCCTAGGAATAGAAGCGCTACCATCTAGTATATTCAAAACTCATTTTAATATTGGATAAAAATTTAAAAAAAAAATTATTTCGCGTGGATTGTATCACTTCGATTTGCCACAAACACCGCTTGCGTATTCATTTTAAAAATCTATTATCGTCCTCATTACCTTTACCGTGAAAACATTTAAAAGTAATTTGCACCTGTATATGTGTCATTGCTGGCCACAAGCCCCCTCTAATTTTAGAGAGATTATTTTTTGGAAGATCTATACATACTAACCGCGCTGCGGAAGCAAGTTAAAGGTCTTCGCATTGGCAATACTTATACCTATTCTTCACCAGTCTGTGAAATTTATGTTTAGCATTTTTGATTTCTATCGTTCGTCAGTCACTAAGGTGCACCATGACAGCGAGATTAGCGTTTGAAGGAAAATTTAACGTATTGTATCCGGGACCCCAAGTAACCTTCCGTTACCTTCCTGCTAACAACTCAAAATTATCAAAAAAAACTACGGTTGCTAAACAGCTTGTTCAGCATGGCAAGTATGACAAGTATCCCCCGTATCTATGGAGGAGGCCTGTGTTCAGCAGTGGGCTTATGAAAGGCTGTAATTTATGGATGGAACCGGTTAGAAGGCCTCAGTATCTTATTCACTAAGGGTGTGATTAATATACTTTATACTCCAGACACTTATGTCAAAAGTTATACTAAACACCATAGTAGTCGAATAGCGGATCGAACTCATGACACGAGCTTGCAATGAAAAGTCTAAACTGAATCTGTCGTAGATTCTAAATATCCAGTTCTTTGCTAATGTCATAAAAATTTCACGATACATACACTGTCATAATTTATGTACTTTAATGTATATAATATCACACGGTGGGAACTCAGAATGTATTTAAATCTTAAACACAGAGAAAATATTTACTATCTGTATTACTGTATCAATAATAGATACCAACTTACCTGTTCTTCGTTCCGGATATTGCAATAGACTACAGGCAAGCGTAAAAGCTTAATTTAAGCCTTTACTGTTATACGACTTTATTGACAACGCTAAGATGCCACTGGTGGAAAGTCCTGGTACTTCAAAGAGCGGCTCTTCGTTGTTTATGTTACGCAGTAACATACCTGTTATTTTGTCGAAAACCTAAAATATTAACGTGCACGTATGAAGCCTTACAAATAATTTTCTACTCATTAATATCTCAGCAAGAGAAACCGTTAATTAACCAACATATATTTTACGAGGTACTTATACCAACAAAAAAGATGGAGCGTGCGTATAGAAACGTGATTCAAAATCCAAGCCAAAATCGAGTTAAACTTATTGTAAGACCAAGAGCTTACAAACAAAACATCGTTATAGGTAGTGCGTGTTCTGCGTTCAACAAACAGTAAATTATTACAGGCTAATAAAGAAAGAAAGAAACACGTGTGCGTGTGTGCGTGTCAAGAAGTTGAGCATGGTGTCGGCATCACTTGAAATGTACGCAGCGCTGCGTCTATCTTTATTTGTTGGTCTGATCGTGGTAGTACCATGCTGCAGCCGTATTGTAGTTGTAGCACAAATGGATCGCCTCAATAGAGAAAAAACTACGCTCTCACGTTATTCTAGGGTAAATTTGCAGTTTAATGTTACTGCGTTTAATTTGGTAAGTATAGAGAATCGGAGAAGCTTTTACTAGTAACGAGGAATTCCGTAACTCAAGTTCTCAAGTGTGTTAACAAATCTATCTAAGAGATTCTTAATCGCGGATAGATGTAAATGTTCCGCTTACCATCAAGTGGACTCGATTTTAGTACATATTGTTTTAAAAAGATTTTAAATCATTTTTATTAGCCCATATATGTTCATTGCTGGTCATGAGTCTCTCGCGTTGAAGGGAGGATTTGACTTAATCGTTACACTTGGCGGATGAATTGACGAACATAGCACTAGTTGTCTCTGACGCTGCTGCCTATATACTATATAACACCTGCTGCATACGAGATTGATGCACAACTATCTATCGGAAGCCGTTTTCCTGGTATTTATCTTAGTCATCTTTTAATTTGATTAAAGACTCACTAGATCCGTAACTGATTTCACTAAGAACAAAAATTCTCGGTGGGTCCATATCCCTTGAAACTAATTCCAATTAAAATAAAATCACAAATTAGATGATTATGATCCGAAAATAGTTCAACACAAATATTATTGAATTCCAAGAAATGCACACTCTTCCAAAAATAACATAAATATTCCATGTTTTCATGTCTATTAAAAAGTTCACTCACCTCCAGAAAAAACGTTTGGCGGACACCGCCATCATGACCTGGTGTACAGTTTAGTGTGAGGGGATCATACGTCACATTTGTGACATCACAATTCCTGACTGCTGACGGCTTTTCTAAACAAATAGTTCAACCACATAAAGACTGAAGCTAGTATTTTCAAATAACTAAGATAAAAGCGTTCGTATTGTGGAATAAGAGAAAATATCATATTATACATATTCAAATGAATGGTTCCGATCGAATTCAGCAATGTAGGTCAAAAGTGCTTTTATGAAGTACTCTTCTAGTAGTTTTGTTTGATCAAATTATTTTAGAAGGTCTTGTATATTATTACTCGTATTAAAATAGTTTTATGATATAACCTTGCAGTATCTTATAGTTTATTAATGGGTATTTTAATTTAATATGAAATTTTTAGAATACAAAATCAAATATTATATCTTTAAAGTATAATTCAAGACTTCAATTCAATCAATTAACAGCCAAGTCTGCTACAGAACAAACCTACCATAGACTGCGTCATAAAGGGGATATTTGCCATAGTTGCCATTCTTAGTGGGTTGATAACTGCAGTTTTTAATTATTTTGAACTATCTGCTGTTTCAGTAGTACTTGCCTCTTACGTCACCCACCGGATCATATTGGGTAATGGATACCATTACGTCGCCACTACACGGCATATATTTGAACACAATGGTGGAATAATCAACAATCAAGCACATCAAATCTGATATGGATGGATTTACCTTTATTCCTTATGGTTAGCAGGAGATTTTACTACAATTGAAGCACCATACACCTCGCATCTTTTAAGCTTCTCGTCACTTTTACTGGATATGTCATATGAAATAGGAAACTAATCATAACTTTACAAGCGGCAGTAGTCTAATGATTAAGGTACTGACTGCAAAAAAAGTATTTGTACTGAATGTAAAAAATGGTTTGAATCCGCCATTCATCTGCTATCGTGAACTACTCCTAATACTAACACTACATTTCAATGTCTTGTGAATCATATATGAACATTTTGATTGTTTAACGATCATCCTTTTTGAAGACAGAGAAGTTGTTAAATATGATTGATTGATAAGAATAAATAAATAAAATATGTGATGTTTGTCTGTAACTGAACATTTGCGTTAGAATATCTCATTAACCCATATCATGGTGTCGTATAAGGCAACAGAAGGAAACTGAAACAGGAGACGGGCAGCAGCATGTTCCTGATAATAACTCCAAATATAAAAACATGCGGTTGACAACCCGCCTGCTCAGTGTAGCAACTATAGCGGCCGTTCTGTGAAAATCTCAATGGATGAGGACTATGTTTAGCAGTGCACTTTTATAGGCTGTAATAGATAGATAAAAAATAAACACAATTTATATCATGATTAACAGTAAAAATACAACAATGAAATCCGTTTACCGATGAGAAAAACAATAATTAAACGAAGATGAAATATGGGAGTTTTCGGGATTATGTAGATAGATTACGCTTCAGTACGCTTTCATTAGTGCGTTGCAAATTATCCTTCTCTCGTTTCCATATTATTATCCTGATGTTTTAATTTTTTATTTTATTGTATCAAATTTTGTAATTTTGTCAGTTTCACAATTGTAACATATATATAGGGTTGTACAAATATTATTAATGTTTGTTCCATATACACAATCCTCGTAAATAAATAATGAAAGGCGAATTTTCAACTATTATCTTTTTTTAAATTAAACGCAAAATTTACAAAATACAGCACTCAATTTTTTACAAAATCTATATTGTCGATTTAAAATTTGTTTCAATACTTATTTTATAACCACGCAAACCAATCTGAATCGAGAAACGCGATCAAATTACGATCAACCATTATCAGCGCTGTTAGACACAATCGGATATTTTTTATCCGGAGATCATTTTTCATAAATTAAAAATTCACTCCATAAATACTTTATGGCATATAATCGGACAAACTTATTTATTAAAACTATCTCATCGTTTACGGTTACAAACACCATCTAGCGGTGAGCAGCTAAAGACTTATGATAATTCCAATTTGAACACCACCATTCGATTCTGCGTTAGTTACAGTTTTGATAGTAATCAATAAGCCTAAAGTTCTAATAAAATTCGATTGATTCAGAGCTCGATTCTGTTGGGAGTAGGCTGACTTAATTGGCCTTTCTTAACATTGGTCTAGGGTTCAGGAATATTACTCATTCAACCATCATCTCCACGATCATTGCGCAGCTATCCACCAGTCTGTCAAGTATGAATATTAAAGAAAATAAAGTCTTTAAAATGTGCTTAGTAAAAAACTATTAAACAAAAAATATATGGGATCGTTGGTAAACCTAGCCTCAGTCATACAAAACACCTTTTTTTGCTCGATTTGATGTTTTAGGCACAAATGAATAGGTGATAATTTAGATGCGCGCACAAGCAACCACATATATTCCTTTGATGTGTGCCCAAAAAATCTAACAGTACTCGGAATTTTGCCGCCTATATGAAAGCGTGGCACTAATAAACCTTATTAATTATTGCAATAAAGGTATAATCTGATAAACATACAAAAGCACGATTTAAAAATATGACGAATAAAATACGATTTTAAATTATATAACCATACCTGCTGGTAAAATGTGATACACGCAGGGAAGTGTCTGCGATCCCATTAAGTTGGACGCAACACACTGTACCCAGCCCTAGTCCGCTGACGAGTTCACAACATAGATAAAGGTAACTGACACAAATATATTTTTAATAAATAGAGATGATAAAAGCAGTGTAATTTCTTTAATCGATAATTTAAGTAAAGTTTTAGTTATTATACACGGTTATTTTGCAATATATGCCCAAATTTTCAGAGAAGGTTCAGAATAAGTGATAAAGGCGAAAGATGCATAAAAAAATCTCAAACATTCTGTCCTTTTTATCTTTCAAATTCAGAGTGCGTGGTAATGCCTGCTTTTAATTTATGATCATTAATAAATATCTAACGCCTACTATATTTTCACGCACACATTCGTAAGGGTCGCTCGTTACAAATTTAGGTACCTTGTCGCGGATCTTCCTACGCCCTTCCCTTCCGTTAACCTTTACACCGATAGGTACCAACCTCAGCTTGACCGGCCGCAGCTGTCAATGTTCACCGTGGCCATTTAAAAGAAGATGATGAAGGGTTTGAAAATTTCAATATAGCATACTCGTATGTAATGAAGTAAGAGTATGCTATTTTTTATAGTGTCGCTTCGTTACCATTGATAATACGAAAATATTCAAACCGCAAATACGATGAAACTATGAAATGGAGGGGTGTTACATTTTAAACAATAAAAGTGGTGCGCAAAGATTATTTGGAAGTGAGTATTTACCGCGGCAAAAAATTAACTCCTGCGTACGTACTAATGGAAGAACAATTGACAGCTAATTAAACTATTCGAGTGCAGTGAGCGATCATTTATATAGTAAATATAAAGATTGGTGGATTGCGAATGAAGGCCCTATTCTATGACCTGCACACTTTCCGGAACTTTCATCGTGAGATGTTTATCTCTAGAGTGAAATAAAGGGTCGAGTTTACGTCATAGAGGCCCAAGTTTATGAAAACCGGAAGTTAAAACTGCTTAATCACGAATGAATTAAAGGAAACGAAGAATAAGTATCAAAAAAAGTTAATAAAACCTGCTCGTCTGTATATGGAGAGAAACGGATTCCATTTTTACGTACTAATATTAGTTATTGAGACTACTTGTGAAATTTAGTTGTAAATATTTTATTATACTTTTTTAAATACGCCATAATAATGACAGTCTTCGGTTACGTTGCTGATAAGCAAAAATATTATTGATTCCAAGCCCGTTAAAAGTGTGGAGGGAAAATTGGAATCATAACTCGCGTCATGTAATTATTGACTTAAATATTTTTAGTGAGCGTGTCACCACATGAGTAAATAGTCGGTGTCTTTAAAATAAAAAGTAGGCTAAAACTTGATAAATTGAAACGCGCACGCAGTAGCGTGCATACGCGTGTTGGCCATAAATCACATTCAAGTTGGGATAATTTTAAATTAAAGTAGAAACTTTTACTCGTGTTTTCCAGTTTCCGATACTTTACACTCGTCATAAAAAACACAGCAGCATTAAACTGCTATTTTACGCTGGTATTCAGTGAGAGCGTGGTCCTACTTCAGTGGAGCCGACCTATTCATGCTATAAATATACTACTAATAAAGCTGCGTACTCATCACATGTCGCGCCTGTAATCCCAGAGGAGGTAAGCCAAGTCCAAAGAACAAAGTGGGATAATGATTTCTTTACTAATGATTAAATTTACGTGAATACTAACACATTGAATAAAACTAAATATACGATTTCTATTGCGTTTAATTTACTTATTTTAACTTATTTTTAATTACCGACGTTGAGTCCCGCCCGTGACTATGGGTGCTGTAAATCACCCGAAACGTCGGTAATTAAAAATAAGTAAATTAAACGCGATAGAATCCGTGTTTTTAATTTTATTCAATAAATCGTTAAAGACGTGATAAGTAGCTAGCCCATCACTTAAACAATTACAAATTTTATATCGACAAATAGTCGCCTTTTATGGTAGGCAAGTATGACTACAGACACACAGCTGGCAGATTCTTTACTCCTATAAACATAGAACATATAAATCTCAGACCAACATGATGCAACTTTTTATAAAACCAACATAAACTTAATATAATTGTAAAAAGGCTTGCGGAAATAATTTACTTCTAGGTTGTTTACAATTTAAACTATCTAGACCATCATAAACGCTATAATTAGCGAACAGGATCTTTCTCTTAATTATTTTAAATGTAAGGGAAATATAAATTTATTTTCCCTGCGTACATTTATAAAAACATTAGACAGAATACATAACGATACTTAATTGGTGCTTATTTCAATTAGCCATTAGAAAATCTTTTTAGAGCAAAAGTTTAGCAGATTAATGCAAAGTTGCTGCAAAAACGTAAAATGTCCTCCAGGTCGAAATGACATCTACGCATATCAGGATTATAGTGCACCAGTGTGTTACCACGGATGTACCTACATTTTTAATTTCAAAGGAACGGCAAATGCGACCTGTTCGGAGAAAGATCGGGTACAGAACAATTGAATTTACGTGCTTTCTGAGACACATAGGCAAGTTTCTGTCTCCGAGCTGATACCGAGAATTTCTTGACAAAAAAAACTCAATCAATGATTTTGACCCGATCCAATCGGGGTTCAAATCCAAGAATACATAAATGCTAAACCATTATTACTTCTACTGGTTAGTTGTGGATAGCATTTTTATAATAGTTCCACACCGTATTTTTCATAAATAAACATATTTTTTGGCTTTGAGTATATTGTAAAAGTGGTTGTTGATATAGTGAAGAGTGACATTGGATATTTAAAATTATTAAAAATTATTCGCTATGTTAAAATATTAACTTCCTGTTGAAAAGTTACTTACTTGCTTCATTTTGTACGTGTGACGGCGAACTCACGCCTCGTGTGTGTCGAACTATTAAACCTCAACTGATACGTTAAAGAAACCTGTGGGGAAAAAAGTACTATATTAACATTTAATTTTAAATTTATGACAATAATGATTTCTTATATTTAAGCGAACACTACACATTGTAATAATACTAGTTTTTACGGATTTTATCGCGTATATTTAACTATAAATACCCGACGTTTCGAGCGCTTTACAGCACCCATGGTCACGGGTAGGACTGAGATGTTCAATGTCCAAATGTCATAGTTAACAGCGGTTACCATAGATAAAAATTTAACTTTTGTTCCGATCTACACAGTATGAACTTATAGTATCTTGAAGTCTTGCAGTTGTATGCTTGGGTTGGGATTTAATTTTATTTATTATAGGATCCCAAGCAGATGGTAGCACCCAGCCATCTTCTCTATTGAAATAAGGATGTTTTTTGATTTCAATAGCCTCACGAATCATCCTTGGAAGGAATCGGTGTTCTTTAGTGAGGATTTGTGGTCTATCAAATCTGATGTAGTGACGGGGGCGATCCTGTACGTGTTCACAGACTGCAGACTTCCTGGAGCGTCGATTCTTTACATCAGCTATATGTTCTTTAACGCGGGTTTTTATGGATCTTTTAGTTTGTCCTATGTAGGAGAGACCACAATCGCAATCAAGCTTGTACACTCCTGCATCTTGCAGAGGGACGTTACACTTGACTGATGGTAAAAACTGACCAATCTTCTTCGGCGGCTTGAAGTATGTTTTGATGGAAGCGCGCTTCAAGATGTAGCCAATCTTGTCAGTGACTCCTCTAACATATGGCAGTACAGCAGGTACACGCTCGACTGTGGCCGGCTTCACTCGTTCACTGTAACGTAGGCGCGGGACCCGAAGCTTGTTGTCATGCAAAACCTGCTTGACATGGTGGAGCTCGGCAGCCAGGTGTTTACTATCACAGATCCCTCGTGCTCTCTGAAATAAAGATTTACCCACGGTAGCTAACTGTGAAGGATGGTGGTGTAAATCACCGTTTAAATATCTATCTGTATGGGTCTTTTTTCTATACACAGTATGGCTCAAGGTGTTATCAGGATTCCTAACTAACAGGACTAACACATCTAGAAAAGCTAAAGAATTGTTTGCCTCTAACTCCATTGTGAACTGAATTTTAGAATTTATAGAGTTAAGATGGTCTAAAAATGCAGTTACTTTATCTAAAGATAGAATTGTGAAAGTGTCGTCTACGTACCGCTTGTAGAATCTTGGATTTATGGGAGAAGTAAGCAGGGCTTTCTCCTCACATTCTTCCATGAATATGTCGGCGACAATAGGAGATACAGGTGAGCCCATCGCCACACCATCTACTTGCTTATAGAACTCCTTCCAGAGTAGGTAGCCAGATGTAAAGCAGTGTCTGAGTAATACTGCATATTCTACGGGCATGTTGTTTTCTTCCAGCCTTCTAGTTACAATTGAGATGCAGTCTTCAACGGGTAAAGTATGTAAACAATGACTGCACATCAAAACTGTTCATAGTTTCATTGTCTGCCAGGTGTAGGTGTTAGAATGACTCTCCATCACCTTAAAAACGGTAAGGTCCCCGGCAAATATAGAATTACAACAAAGCTTCTGAAAGCGGTAGGAAAACCGATATTGAAGTGCTTCAAAAAAAGCCGGTTGCCGAAAATACTTTAGTACCATAGACCAAAAACATACCCTTCGGCAATTTGTGCAGAAGACCGAAGAGTATAATCTTTCCTTTGATTTCGTTTCGTCGTTGGGCAGTTCTACAGTCAATTCAGTGTTGCCAAGTCGACTATAGGTATATCGAAGTGCTGAAGTGTTTGTACATTAGGGATACGATGGATATCCGAGTACAGAAGGACAGAGAGGAACCTATGCAACTGCAGAGAGGTGTACTCGTAAGACAGAGTGACGGCATAACATTTTTAGCGGCACATTAGCGGTATTGCAGAGCATTTAAATAAAACCTTGTTTTTAAAAATATTTTTTTATTCTTAATTTATTTATTTTATAGTTGTTATTAGAAACTGCTGTCGATCTCCTGGCCTGTTGTAATTTGCCGCCTCTTACAAAACCCACGGGACGATATGGGATACTGGATATTCTAACGCCACCACTACACGCGCAATGAGTAAGG